CGTTCAAACAGAGACAGAAAAAGAAGAAACGGGAACTTTAGAAGGATAGCAAGCCAATTTGTTAAAAATAACTTCCATAAGAAAAATTCTAAGTAAAGATTACGTTTTGTACAGGTGATGGCAGAGCATCAGAACAGCCGGGTCTAACCGCTATTCACACAATCTTCCTCCGCGAACATAACCGCCTGGTAGAAGGTCTACGAGGTGTCAACCCGCATTGGGACGCTGAGCTGCTTTTCGAACACACCCGTCGCATCGTCGCTGCGGAGCTTACACACATCATCTTCAACGAATTCTTACCTCGACTTCTCTCATGGAACGCTGTCAATCTTTATGGACTCAAATTGTTGCCAGCAGGTAAAAAAAACCTTTTTGATAAATTATTGCGTAAGATTTAGAACGAGTCTCCTTCTATAATTGTATATTGGTTCTTCAATAACGAAATAAATATCAATTGCAGGTTACTATAAGGACTACTCACCGACTTGCAATCCAGCGATAGTAACCGAATTCGCAGCAGCGGCGTTCCGTTTCGGCCACTCGCTACTGCGCCCGCACCTGCCGCGTCTCTCACACAACTTCCAGCCTGTGGAGCCTCCGATCCTCTTGCGCGACGGATTCTTTAGACCTGACATGTTTATGAGCGTATGTTTTATACAACATTTCAAAAATTAATTCCAATGGCGGTAAATCTGCCCTATTTCTTCATCCTTATTCTATTGCAAGAAGCAATCACTGTTGTAATGAAACACACTGACATTAAGCAATATTTTACAACGTTAACATCTTTTTCTTTTCAGCACCCGCAACTGGTCGATGAACTGATGCGCGGTCTATCCTCTACTCCTATGGAAACACTGGACCAGTTTATAACCGGGGAGGTCACAAACCACTTGTTCGAGGACCGCAAGATACCATTCTCTGGAATCGATTTAATCGCCCTCAATATCCAAAGAGCTAGAGACCACGGAATACCGAGTTATAACAACTATAGAGCTCTGTGCAACTTGAAGAGGGCTGCTAACTTCGAAGATTTATCAAGAGAGGTTCCCGATGAAGTTATTGCACGGTATGTAAAGAAAGAAATGAACATGTGATGTTTTAATTTTAGTTAAACATATTACAAGATATTTGTATGTGTTGCAGATTGAAGAGGATCTACCCAACAGTGGACGACATTGACCTATTCCCTGGGGGCATGAGCGAGCGGCCATTGCAGGGCGGTCTTGTAGGACCTACCTTCGCTTGCATCATTGCCATACAATTCCGACAGCTCAGGAAATGCGATCGCTTCTGGTAAACAAACTCTACTTTACCACATATCAATTAAATATAATGACTTGCCGGTGCATTTAATATCCTACTAGTTTTGTCAAAATAAGTAAAAAGACGCCATAAATATTGTTTATTATCTATACATTTTTGTTAATTACTTTTCAGGTATGAAAACGACAACCCAGCTATCAAATTCACGGAGCAACAATTGGCGGAAATTCGCAAAGTAACGATGTCTAAGGTTTTATGCGAGAACTTCGATTTGCAGAGTGACATGCAACGCGCCGCTTTTGACTTACCCAGCAACTTCTTGTAAGTATAATGGCCAACTAACACACACTATTTCAAGAATAAAACTCCCACATTTGGACTACCGAAAAGATTGGGCAATTTGACCAACTTCAGTTTGCAGATATTTGTGGAAAACTATTTAATGTTTGTTGTTCGTAGGAACCCTCGCGTGCCTTGTTCATCGCTGCCCAAGTTGGACTTATCGGCGTGGCGCGAAAGCTCCGCCCAGGGCTGCCTGATCGCGGGCCGCTCGGTCGCAGTCGGCGAGTCCGCCTTCCCCTCACCGTGTACCTCCTGTATCTGCTCTTCTGAGGGTGTAAGTGTTAAGAGTAATGTATAGTCTTTATTATAATATTTTACAATGTAACGCTCAATAAAGGAACTTTTAAACGGATATTATCTATGTTTTTTTGTTAACAGGCGCAATGTGCATCGTTAAGGATAACAGACTGCGCGCAATTGCTTCGCGAATGGCCGCGAGAAGCAGTGCTAAGAGATGACGTGTGCACAGCGCAATGTGGCACTGCAGCGCCACCCAACCCTAGCGGCCACCGACGACAACCGATCAACTTCAAGTTCCCAGACTTATCGCCCTTTATAGCAAAGTGAACGAATATTACGAGCTCGTAAGCTCTGTGTAATCCAGTGTGTGCTATTAAGCTAGTTAAACCAATTTATAACGAACTATGAATAACTGTAGTAAAAAGTCCCCTGATTGTGCTTACGACGAAATTATGTAATTATTGATACATTCGTCAACAATTTTAAATGATAGAAATTTTCAATAAAATAATGCAAATATTGTTATTTTCTATTACATAAAAAACGAGCCAATAATGCATAATTACTTTAAAGCTTCGTTAACATCAAAGACGTTTGTAATTTTTGTGAGTAAAAACTTTATGGTTGATTGACTAAGAACATCACGAACAAATATTTAAGATTTTGTAAATTATTAGTGACGTTTAGGCCATAAATAAATACTCAAGCTTTATCCTCTGCTGAAAAATAAGTTAATAAAAAAAAGAATCGAATGAAAAAATACAATAACATAAATAACTTAACAAGTTATTTGTTAAATGGGTATTACTCAAAAAATGAGCACGCATAAGCATTCTTACCAAAGTTATTTAAAAATATGAAATTCAATCACATACCTTTAGGTTAGTGAAGAAAAACGAATGCAACAAGCTCAAAATCCATGGCTGTTAGCAATAATTTAAAACTCCTAATTTTAAGGATAATGAATTCTTAATCAAATTGAAGTCATTGTAAAACGGCCATGTTAGCTTTAATTTTTTTTAAACAATTATTACCAGTGTGGCAATACCTACTAAATGTTACCATTATCGTACAATATTAGATTCAGTAATAAATACAAAATATACTATGTAGCTTGTAAGAAATCACTGCCTAGTTTTGTGTCTAGGGTTTAAAACGTGTAAATTATTTTGTAAAGTATTGGCATAATTAGTATTAAGATTTTTATACTGTAGCTTATAACTATTTTAATTTTATAAATACAAATCTCACCAATTATTTAAAACAAGACTTTCATTTTTCGACATGGCACCACCATTTAATATTCTATCGAAGAAAATTAAAGTATAACTTAAAGGCTCGATTTTGCCTGAAGTATTCTGTCGGCATTTCATACCAGAATCTTAATTCTTCAGATATAAGTTTTGGTAAAATAAAAGAAAACTTGATGCAAAAATGTTCTTATTTACAAATCATTTTTTATTTTGTTTCACATTATCATTTTGTTTTGTTGCACATTATTATAGTTCATTAATTTCTTTTTACAATAAATACATGTTTTGAGTATAAAAAAAAAATTGGTATTGCAATAAAAAAAACAACACAAACAGGGTTCGACAATATCCGCAGCGCCGGCGCTTAACGTCACGTACAACTCGCACTACACTGCACTGGGTTCGGTACACAAGCGCGCACTGCGCACTGCTCACTGCGCACTGCCCACTGCGCACTGCCCACTGCGCACTGACCACTGCGCACTGCCCACTGCGCACTGCCCACTACGCACTGCTCACAGCTCCTCGTCACTCTGCAACATTAACAAAATTAGATTAATGCGCGTTCACATTTGGCCAGTACGGTAACGTTCAACAACTACACTGTCAATAAACTGACACAACTGAAATATAGCTAGTACCAGTGACTATACAATCTATGACTTAGCCATCGCAAATGTTCAACTGAACTGGTTAAGTGTGAACCGGTCATTTCAAGCTCCACCCTTCACTAACTAGATTTTTCTCTGCCGATAAATTATTCGTAAACTAAACGAGGCTAACAAAGCTTTGAACAAGTGAAATAGCAGTTCACGGTTTAACGCGATGTATTACTTTTAGGAGCTGACGAGTCGCTAACTACCTGGAGACTTGCAACTCAAAGAAATCATATTTACGATTTCGACCGAACTATCACTGAAGGGTAGCTTACATATATTATAGACATAGACGGGCATATTACATAGACGGGCATATTACATAGACGGGCATATTACATAGGCTACTGTTTTTAATTCCGTGCTATCTTTGGAACGGTTGGACCGATTTGGACGGGACTTTTACTGAAAGATAATAGCTGCTCGAAGGTTTTTTTTT